CAAAGCAAATTTCGGAACGAGAATTCCGGGGAAACCTTTCATATTCGACATGGATATGAGTGTTGGAGATTTCCTAGCACTGTTCTATCTCCTGAAAGTGCCAGTTGAAGTAATTGACCTTCAGGTAAGAGGAACGTTTCACAGGTTGAAGCCTTGATATCATATTAAGCTTGATATATTTGAATGATATAGAGTAGTTTAGTTCATATTCCCTGCTATTTAGATATCAAAATGCATAGAGAAATGACACCTGAATCCAGGCAATATTAGTGACTCCGACCGGATGGGCTAATCCTGCTACAATAGATGTAATCTACGATTTGCTGCATATGATGGGTCGCGACGACATCCCTGTTGGTCTCGGAGAAATGTTCGCGATGCAACAATCTGACTCAGATTTCCCAGGTGTTGGAAACTGCAAGTACCTTAAGGCCATCCCACAAGGGAGTGGTGGACTTCTGGACTCAGACACTCTTTACGGGCTGGCTCGTGACTTGCCAAGAAGTCCTAGAAGGTGTACTAAATTTCTTTGTAAAAAGCAATTTTGTCTCTCAATCTATGCCCAAGTTGTTTGGGAATAAAATGCTGAATTTCATCCAGGTATACTGCGGAAAACTCTGTGAAGTTTGGTGCTCCTCGGGATACTGATCACCCGGAACTCAGGCAACCTTTAGCAATGGAAATTTGGGATTCTGTTGTGGGAAATATGAATCAAGGATCTAAGATTTCAATACTGACCAATGGACCCTTGACTAATTTAGCAAGGATCATTTTGGATAGGACAAATTTGACCTCTCTAATTCAGGTAATGAAGAATATAATTATATCTTACAGTTCCAGAAAATGAAGGCTAACCAGATATATCTCAAATCCCACTGCAGGATGTATACATTGTTGGAGGACACATGAGGAATGGCAACATGGCCAAAGGAGACGTCTTTACTGTCCCTTCAAATAAGCATGCAGAATTCAATATGTATCTTGATCCTTTATCAGCAAAGACAGTTCTCGAATCTCGACTCAATATCACAATTATTCCACTTGGAGCTCGTCGTAGCATAAGCTCATGTCGTAGCATGCTAGAAAGGCTGTATAAGGCAAGGGACGCAACACCAGAGGCTCAGTTTGCTTACAATTTGCTGTCAACACTACATCATTGCAGCAGACTCGTCGAAGATATGGGCACATGGTAAATCTTCGTGTCTAAATTTTCGTGTTCCTAAATTTTCCGATTATCACTAACTAATAAATATTAATTTGGTTTAGGAAACCTTCTTGGGGGAGATCTTAGGTGCAGTATTTGTTGCTGGTGATCATTCATTACTAAAACCTACCTTGCAAGGCAAGCATATCAAGGTCATTGTCGAAGGAGTTGAATCGAAAGACGGAGAAATAGTAATAGATCGGAAGAAAGGAAAATTGGTGAGAGTATTGGAAAAAGTGGATGCTATAGCATACTATGATATATTTGTAGATCAGCTCAGGAGTAAAAGTCAGTCTGCTGTTGTAGGATCCTTTGATGAGCAGATGAAAAAGTGGACAACACCACCTAATCAAACTGATTTTGAAACCTAAGGCAATTGGATTATAAAGAAATAGAGAACTTTTCTTTATATGACTCAGAATGATCACATATTAGTTTTGTACATTGCAACAACTATACTTATTTGAATATTTAATGTTAACAAAGGCTGGAAGCATACCAATCTCCAAACCCAAATGAAAAATTACAAGCAAAATAGATGAAAAAATAAATGACCACTAGGAATTTACATGGTTCGGTTATTTTGACCTACTTTTTGAGAGAAAAGGATTCATCACTAAAAATTACTTTAATATATTTTTTACTGTCTTTTTATTGAGTATAGACACAACAAACCTAAATTGATAAAAGAATAAACCCTGATTTACAGATGATCTAATTCTTTTTTTTTTTTGAGACCGTATGGAGTTTACAAATTATTCATAACAAACTCGATTCGATTATTTTATTATATTGATATAAATAGAATTAAATTTATATTATGAAATTTTTTAAATATATTTATTAATATAGATCTTCAACAAATGAAAATTCAAGTAACTATTCATTATTATCAATTAGAGTTGCGGTGGTATTCTGATTATCTTTTTTTTTTTTTAATTTTCTCATTATTCTATTCATTTTTCAAAATTCTATAGTTTTGTTTCATATGATCTTCCATGTCATAATGATAAACAGCAAAATTTTCATTTCAACTGTAATTTGCCTATAGATTTATTGTACCCCTTAAGATTTTTATTTTTAATTCTACCCTTACACTATGTGATTGTGATAAGAGTTTGAGAAGTATCAATGCTCATATTGTTCTTTCTAGTATAATATTCGGGCTCGAAATTTGGTCCGAAATTAATTTTGAAATTAAAAAATATATATAAAAATATAAAATTTAAATTTATAAATTTTATTTTAATGTAAAATTAGAAAAAAAATAGGTGGAGGATGAAATTGAAAATAATTTTAGAAAAAATTGGTAAAAATTTGGGTTCGGTAGGTATTTTTGAAAGAAAAATTAGAAATTGGAGTTCAAAACGTAATTAAAGAAAAATACACAACGTAGGATCGCCCAGTCAGCAGCGCCGACGAATCGGAGCGCGCTGGGTGGCAAGGCACGCCGATTCGGTGCCATGCTGGCAATCCGTGTACCCACGTGGATGGTCTGGATCTGTTCCTTCCTTAGGCACGATCAGACGGTCGCGATTAAACGCGATGAACGATCCAAATTCATTCCATCTTTAAATGCAATCGTACAGTTCAGATCAAATCGTGATGAATGGTACAGATTTATTTTCTATTTAAATGTGATCAGACGGTTGAGATCAAATGCGATTAACGATCCAGATTTAAGGAAGATGAGTATAAATATCTTACTTCACACCGAACCCAAACTCTAGCCACCAGTCCCCCGCTGGAAAAGAAGCACTAGTCACGGAGAATGGAGCCGACCGCCGTCCACCGTCGCACCGGAGCCACCTCCAATCACCAAAAAAGATAAAAATTTTCCTATTCGCTTGGAATTTGATTTTGAACACTCCCATGGCTAAATCGGAGTAAAAAGAACAGCAGATGAGGCGAAAACTGTAGGTAAAGTCTGGCGGCGCCGCTGCGGGCAAAATCGAAAATCGTCTCCGATGAGCCTCTTCCCGATTCTTGTTTCGTGCGATATTTTTACCATCGTGTTCACCATTCCGTTTTCTACAGGTTAACCAAAGAAAAATGCTCAACCGCAAAGGTGAGCTGACGGAGTCGCCATACTGAAAAATTCCACCGCCGGTAAGTTTTTATTTTTCTATTTTTTTGGGCCAACCGAGACCCCATAACATGTTTTCTCATAGGGATGAATATAAAACTAGCCGAAATTGACCAAAATTAGCCGAAAATAGCCAGGCCGAGGCAAACCGCTGCCACGGGTAGTGATACTGTCACTGGAGCATCGCAGTGCCGCCGTGCCAAAATTCCAAAATTGGCCGGAAAATATTTTTAACACTGATTTTGGATTTTTTGGGATATTTTCAAGTATGTGAAGCGTGTTTTAATCTTTGCAAAAAAATTCAAAAAACCCGGGGGATCGCCAGTAAGCATAGCAGAAAGTTCGGTATTTCGA